TAAGAGTGCTGTCAGAAAGCAAATTACAGAAACAAGAATAAAGCTAACACTGTAGAAAGCTAGTACATAATAAAAAAAAAATTTTCTTTGTAGTTCTTTTTAGATGTTCAGGCATTGGCTTCCTTTTCTAAGTCTATATTATGAGTTTTTGGTATGAAGTACAATGGTCCCAATTAGAAGATGACTTGTGTGGGTCCCTGCAAATGTTTACTGCTGGTCAAGAAATGATCAATGAGAAGCAGGAAGAAAATCTAGTTCAGCAAGACCTAGTTAGTTAGTACTGGTTCAAATATCTAGAGTGTGATATTGAGCAGTTTGTTTTAGACATATTTAAGTACAGTCTTGAAAAAATTTTCCTGCTTTCATCATCTCTGGCCCATAAATATTTGTTTTTCTTTCTCAAGCAGAGGCTGAGATTCTAACACCCTCCCCCTCAAATGCCATAGTCTCAGTGGTCTGAGATCAGACTTGTTTATCAGTCTAGACCATCTGGAAAAACATAAAAAAAAGAAGAGTATTGGCATCTACTTTTCTCTCTTTTATTTCTGACAAAAATACAGAATTGTGACACATTTAAATAAATTAACACTTTATAGAACTGAAATATTGTAGTACATAACTATTAAGGTTAATACTAACCCGAAAAACACTGATTTTATTTCTCATAGCATACAACAGAAGTCCCACATTTCACAAACAGACAAATAAAATATATTACCTGTGTAATAGCATTGGGGATTACTTCCCCTAACTGGAAAAAACATTAGTGAAGAAATTGCACTTAGAAATGGGTTTTGCAGATATATTAATGGAATTTGTACTGAGTGTTTTACCCATTATTGCCACTTAAAGGAAGTAAAGGATTAGCTGTTATAGTTACTATTATAGTTAAAATACATGAAAACAAATAATTATCAACTACCTGAAAACTAGATAATTATTTAGAAGTAATAACATCATCATCAGGAAAGAAGCTTTAACATCACCTCTAGAAAAAAATTTATAAGAATAACTTAAAAGCTTGAACATCACCTTCAGGAAACAATTTGCCAAAGTTACAGAATAATCACAGTCATGATATAACTGATAAATATATTTTGCTTTATATAAACACATTGCTCAATAGAATTAGGTTATTGGACAGATCTCTGTAACATACATTGAGCTAATTGCTGAGTTCTGAAATAAGTTATCTCTCAGTCTCTGTGAGCTACAGGTAGATGAGAAATATAAAGAAATATTTTAGTGTGATATTATTAACAGAAGGCTATACTCTGAGTTATTTCAGCCCACTTCATTACCCTTAAGAACAATAGCACAAAGTCGTTGAGCTAGTTAGACCTATATGGTTGGGAAGATTCTCAAAGTTAGTGAGGTAAATAAAGTTTCGTGGTTGATAATTATGGAATTGTGGCCTTGTTTTATGGAAATATCATGCTGTTATTACCATATGGCTAGTCTATACTGATCTATGAGTAAATTGTCCTCCTTTTAATAATGTAACTGTTATTTATGATTTCTGTTTTGTATACTTTCTGGAGAACTCTTTTAAAGCATTTTTAAAAATTTGAAAATTGTATCTAATAACAAAAATTGTTATTAAAAATTTTCCCTTAAATTTTTCCATCAAAATATATGTTTATGATTATGTTGATGGGATGAGAGTATGCAGGATACACACCAAGGCTTTAGACCAGTGGTTCTAAACTTTCCCAATGCTATCACCTTTTACTATCTCTAACCATAAAATTATTTTTTGTTGCTACTTCATAAGTGTAATTTTGCTACTATTATGAACTGACATGTAAATATTTGTGTTTTTTCTGATGGACTTTGGTGACCCTTGTGAAAGTGTCCCAATCCAGTTTGGAAAGCTAGACTAAAATGAAATGCTTGAACCACCAAGTTGTCTTGCACAGTAAAGTAAAATCCTCCTGTGAATTCTAAAAAGGCTGTCAGGCTCAACCCAACAACATGGTACTACAATGAAGACAAATTCTCTGTGGCAACCTTACAAAGAGAAATCATGCAACCTGGCCACTGATAGAAAAGTCAATATGTTAAGTTCTGCAACAAGAGGAAAATGAGAATATACTTTGCACCAACAAGAGACATGGTGCTGCTCCAAGTACTTGGAATGACTGATAGGCAGAGACAACTTTAAGGCAAGAACTGAAGCTCTTATCACAACTGCAAAGTTAATTTCATTGTTATAGCACTTTCTAAGGTTACTGCTTGGAATCAGTACAGCACAGTAATTCTTTATCCCTGAAAGCATTGAACTATAAACTCTAAGACAAAATCATTTATCTGAAATGTTTGTTAGAAAGATTTTCCCCATATTTTATTCCAAGATTGTTTACACTTTGAATGTACATCTCTAACTTAGAAGAGTTAACATTTTGTAAACAGTAGAATCACCCCTTGATTAAATCCTCAACTTTGTTATGAATTTGAGTAGGCATTAGGTCATCATATTTAATCTGTAAACATACTTTAAATTTTAAGATATAAGGTTAGGCAATCACCATTTCTGTTTACATAAGTACTTTATATAAGTACTGTATCAGGGAAATAATTTGTAAAGTTTTGCTTCTTGTCTTTGTGTTTTTACTCAGTTTAATGTTTGTCCTGTGTGGAAGTAGGAAAGAAGAATGGAAGAAACATGGAGGAGTGAGAGGACAGAGAAAATTTCCCTTCCATAAAATCAAGTCCTATTTTTTAAAATTCTCAAATATGTAAACAAATTAAATCAGAATAGTTAAAATGTGTAGTAATAGTCTCAACCTTAGGACTTTATAAAGTGCAATTGCTGTTTCTTACAGTGACTAGAATTCTGCTTTCCTTTAGAGTCTAGCCCCTATTTTAAAGGGCTCACCTCCAAAGCTGCTTTCTTTGAGATGTTTTAAAAACTTATACATTAATTTTAAATGCAGCAGAAAAACTTCCAGAACATTGGACCCAATTAATCTGAGAAGAGTGATTCCAATGTAATTTTCTGTATTCAAATATGCATGTAATCATAATATTTATTGCTTTAAAATATCAAAATACAAAACAGATCTATATCTCTGTCTTAGACTTTGGTTGTCAAATGCATCCTTGAGCCAAACACAAATGACTACACATTCAATTTAAATGAAAAGACAGAATTTAGTTGCAATGTGTGGTTTCCCTCAAATAATCCAGCTTTCAGGAGTAACAAATGCAATGAATGTTGCTCTGGTAAATATTTCTTTCCTTACCAATACAGAGTTAAGTGTTATGAGATTTGTTAATTTTGGTTATGCAAATACTCTTCCTCAAGACTGCACATGAACAAAGGTACACTGCATTTTAACTTAAGTTCAAAGACCACAACAAGAATGTCCAATAACTATAAATTTATTTCATATGTTAACCCTTTTTTATATTTAACAATGCCATAGACATACTTTCAATTTTAGGAGATCATAATTCAAATATTTCTGGATGCATACTCCTAATGAGGTAAAGTAAGACAAAAATAATGGAGAAATGTTAAACATTTTTCCCCCACAAGAATGGCAGCAGTCTGGATAGTGAGGTCAATTATTTGGCCATTACAATGTAGTCAACATGAAAGAAAGAATGACTTTAAAAAGAAAGAAAAAAAGAGAACTAAAGGAAGACATCATAGAAGGGTGCTATATTCTGAGAATAGACCTCGGTGATCACAGAGATTTGCATATTAGAAAACCAGAATGAAGAAAGCCAGAGTGGTACATTATGTTCTTAGGTTGCAAGGCCACAGTGCACTGGATGCACCAGTTTAGTCATGGAGCAAAGAATCCAGTATGGATAGAGTTCTGGAGATTCTGAACACAGGACCATTTTCCTCTTTGTGGCAGTTAGACGAAGTGAAAGCATGACAAGGAAATACAAAGTTAGGCGTTAGTTAGTAGAGTCAAGTCTGTTGTGGTGGTGATAAAGAAATGAAGAGCCTAGGTTTTATGACTGGACATAGTATTTTCTTCATAATGAAAAATGGAAAAAAGCACAAGGTGTAGATGTACAGAGATGGCAAGGAATGAACATATTTAAAAAAAGGAAACACAGCAATATAACAAAGATCCCAAACCAGTATAAGCAAAGAAAACAGATACCAAGACCAGTTGGGTCTTGATATCAAGGACATTATCACAGAGAATAGCAGAAATAAAAAGGATTGGAGAATGTAACACTGTTGGGAGGGGATATTTTAATTTAGTCTCTCTCTCCCTCTCTCTCTCTCTCTCTCTCTCTCTCTCTCTCT